GACCATAAACCGCTTATAAGTATTTTCGGCGACAAAAAAAGGAATACCAGAACTGGCAGCGAATCGCTTGCAATGAAAAGCTTTATTTTTGTCAAGACTTTTTACCACGATAGATTGATGGTGTACGGCGGGGTAACGATGTATCCATGGCAAAAAACAAGATTATACCTATTTTTTTAACAAATAGTATGGTAAAAATAACATCAACGGTGTTAAGCTAGCTACCCTGGAGGATAGTACTTTAAAACAAGTTATAGACTACATAAAGAGGGAATGGCCAGGAAAATCGCCGGTAAATGTAAATAACTTTAACTCCGGCGTAATTCAATTGAAATAAATTTTAAACGATAGAGAGGGATCACTAATGAATTAATCACCAAGCAGAATTCGGCGGTCGCTTATAGTTTTCGAGAAATAAATATTTAAAACTTGTTATTTTCACTAACAAAGTCCGCAATTCGCCAACGTAATAAATACACAGTTCTGCCAACATGATGAATATAGAAAGCGGGCGACGTCATGTCCTAGCGATTATTCCATTAATTTTTTTTTCCTAAATATTTCAATCAATGTTTCATTTTCCGACTCGAAAAAATTTTAATCGATAGAGAAATGTTAATAATCAAATATAGTTTAGGTTATAATCCAAGAAAACTCTTAAATATTAGGCGCCAATACCAAATAAACCAACGTTATTCATATTGAAATATATGGACATTTTTTTAAATTTTATATCGATTATAAATCGATTACATTTTTTTTACAATTTAAATTACTGTGAAATAAGCTAAATTAGGTTTAACATTTATTTACTAATTGGTTAGGTTGCATCTTTTTAATTTATCACGGACCCTTTTCCGATTAGATAAGGTTCAAAATGAGTCCCAGATCCGACACAGAGCACCCCGACTCCATGTGGTCTTGTGGTCCCTACCCCTAGAGTGAACATAATAAGGCGGAGCCAGAACCTCGCGTCGGAGGGTGAAGCGACACTCAGGGGCGACATAGCGAGTGTTCTGGCGAACACGTGGAAGAGTCATCCTTTATAAAGAAGTAATTAATTTTGAATATTTATTATTTTTTACATAAAACAACAAATAAGTTAAAGATGAAGATTTTAAAAGCTTTGTAATGAAAATAAATAAAAAAAATGTAATTTCATTATTATATTTAGTTTATAATACATTGATATTTAGTTTTTAATAAGTTAAGGGCTTTTAACCAAGATTTAATAAAATTTGTAATCGAGTTTCAAAATCGATATTAGTATATTGGCTGTATATAATTTTTTCGGTGCTTAATCGTATGTTAAATTTAAACCGGAAGTATTTCCCGCTCATTATTTAAAACCAATAGAATAGTGGTTATTCGTATTTGCAATGACGGATAATATTTGTGCGTCTACTAGTAGTAGTGATATTTTATGTACATATTGTAATTTAAGTTTTTATTCTTTTTATAAAATTTTATTCAAATCAGAATCAGATCGTTTAGTCCTTTTTAATTTTTTGTGTCGTCATTGAGTTCTTGTAAATATTGTTAAATGTTTAAAATGTGGACTTCATTGGTTATCTGGTTGAGGCACGATTTCGTAAAATTTTCCCCGAACCTGGAGAACGTTTGCACCATTTCTGGAAGAGTGTGAGTGTCCTCTACCCGCCGATGATATAAAAATGTGAGTATTTTAAAAAAGTTTTTTTGTTGTTAATATCTCAATTCAGCTCGTATTTCTTGGTGGTCATAAAAAAAAAAAAACCTAACATCGAAGGTTAAGGCGGGAGCGGAGCTCCCGCCTGAACCTTCTAACCTAATCTATCCGAGTCGGATTCGCTCTGTGTCGGTTCTGTGGCTCATTAAATTTAAAAAAAATCGGAATATCGATACGTGTATGATGTCGCCCGCTTCCTATGTTTATCATGTTGGCAGAACTGTGTATTGAGTTTTTAAAGTCAAACAAATAAAATGGTGGATTTCTTAGCACAAAAAACAAGTTTTAAATATTTTTTTTCTCGAAAACTATAAGCTACCGCCGAATTCTGCTTGTTAGAGATTATCTCTATCGTTTAAAATTTATTTGATTTGAATTACGCCGGAGTTAAAGTTATTTACCTTTACCAAATCGCCTTATGACGATTTAAAACCCTATTTTAACAATCGGTTTGAACTTAGTTTAGAAATTGGGGGTATTCTAAGCGGACACAAGCTAGTGATACCGACGATATTTAGGGAAGAACTTTTAAATGAGATGCATAGTTCCCATTTTGGGATTGTAAAAACTAAATCAGAGACAAGATCGAGAATTTGGTGACCCAACATCGATAAGCATGTAGAACAAAAGATATGTTCTACATGAATATTTGCAATACTATGCGATCCGCTTCGTGGCCCAACCCGAAACGTCCCTGGGAGACGCACATACAAAATGGATAGAGTGTTATTTAATGTAATCAAATCATGTCGATTATTGTGAAATTAGAAGATTTAATGAGTAGATTGAGTTTAATGAAAATATTAGTAACGGATGATGCAAGAAATTTTTGTTCTAATGAATTCGAGGAGTTTTGCTTTATTAACGGAATAAAACATGTAACCAGCCCACAGGCAAGCAGAAAGTAGTGTAAAAGCGAATTGGAAGAGAACCGAAACAATGCCCCGGTGGCGCGGTGTTTTGGTGGTCGCGTTCGAATTAATTTTAATGAATTAAATATTTCAAAATATCTTATTTCAATCAATAAATTAAGATAACAATCCTTGTTATTAAAATATTCCACACCAGGGATATTAGTTTCATTAGATTTGTTGAAGTATTACGTTCATTTTTGGATTTTTTTTAACGGTGGAAGAGTCACGAATGGGCAGGCTCGTCCGGGTAAGTACCACGACCTCACAGAAGACCGACGTAAAGTACAAGTACTTTTGCGTTTCGTCTGATGAGTGAGGTAGTCGGAGCCCAATTTCCAAAAAGGTTGTCTACGCATCTGCAAACCCTCGGTTGTAGCAGATGTCTATGGGCGGCGGTATTCCCTAAATATCAGGTGAACCGCCGCTCGTTTGGTAACTTTTCACATAAAAAATATAGAATTTCTCTTTTAGAGGTAGTTTCATGATTTTTTTCTATCGAGAAAATGTATCGAGAATATGTTTTGTAAACAATGTTCCATTAGAATGTAAGATCAAGATTAACATATATATTTTTGCTTCTATAAATGTATAGATTTTGCTAAAAAATCTTTTGAAAAACCTATTTTTACTGCATACAGAGTCTTAACGCCGCGGCTGGTGACAAGCTGGTTTATTTTCTCGCTCTCTTGGCACCATGACGCGTGGACTAGGTTTATTAGATAATATGTAATTTAGATAGATTTAATGTTGTAAATGTTGGATAATTAAATTGTTTATTATTGGGTTGGCAACTAAGTCATTGCGGATTTGTTAAGTGGAATATTTTTTTTTATTGGAATGAAGTTTAATCTATAATGTATTTTCCATTTTGTTCGATCCTTCTTGCCATCTCTATGACAACTTGAAAATTCCAAGTTCATAGAAAGTCTGATCCATTTCGGCCGAAAACTGAGTTAATTGAGATTGTACAACATCATCATCATTGAAAGTTTAACCACTAAGGGAGTTAAGTGACCGAAATAAGTGGTAATCCTATGGCGCGAGTTCAGGGCTATAATGTGGGTGTAACATCAATTCTTAACAATTAACAAATTCGATTCGGAAATAATAAAGCAACATATGGCATTAATTAAGCGTTTTTACATTTAACATATTGACAACAACAAAACTTTCTTTAGTGACAATAACAAGATTAATTTTTTTCTCGAAAACTAAGCGACCGGAGAATTCTGCTTGTTGATTAATTCATGACTTTTCTCTATTGTTTAATTGCAATGTCAACTTTGAAATTTTCTGAACATTTGCCAAAAAAGGTACCGTATGTCAAGTATTAAATTTTTTGATATCTACTGTTCTATTTCGGCTAAAAATATCGATATTTGTAATCAAAAATATCGACATATCGTCAATTTTCGCATGATTTTGCATAAATATTTTCAAAACGAAATGGAATACACATGAAGAAAATAGTTAAGAGTTTTAAATTTAACGAAGCGCGAGGAGCAAGCATAGAGTATCTAGTATCATTAAACACGGAACAGGCAGCTCTGTTCCGTGTTTAATGAAAATCAAAATCAAATGTCTTTATTCAACATAGGAGCATTACACTCACTTATTGATAGTCAAAACACTACCACCGGTTCGGAAAAGAAAGCCACTGTACTGAGAAGAACCGGCGTAAGAAACTCAGCGGGCTTCTTTTCAGAGTGTGTTATTATTTAAATAATCATTAATATTATAGTAGCCTTTAACACACAAACGTTCTTTTACTATTTTTTTAAATTTAGCTATTGATGCATTTTGAACGTTTTCTGGAATTTTGTTGTAGTAACATATACATTGTCCCATAAAAGATTTACTTATTTTACGCAGTCTACTTGTGGGTAGGATCAATTTATTTTTTATAGTATTTATATCATGAACATTATTATGTCTTAAAATATATATCGAAACTTACATGAATTCTATAGTCTAAAATAAATATCGAATATCGATATGTGGTGTATAGGTAGCATATGGTGATAAAAATATCGACGATATGTATCGATAATTGTATGGAATGTATCGATATTTTCATATATCGATGTTTTTACCCTTGCCTAATTGAGTTTGTTGATCTCGGATCGGAATAGTCAAAATTTTATAACTGAACAATCTGAAGAAATTAATGCATAGTTATTTTAAGGATAATTCGTATTCATTAAAATGTATTATATATATATGTTTCTCGCAGTGCCTTAGTGACATGTGCAATTATTTAGTAGACTAATGCAAAAGTTTGGTTACGAATTTCATTTGTTTTCATTATGACGAAGCGCCGAAGAATAGTGCAAGCTGATAAAATTATTCAAAATGTGGTTCATATTTTTTGTTTGCTAATGTTTTTGCAATTAAAGGGTAAGTCACTTTATGTAAGTTATCTATTTTGTGCCAACAACTAATAATAACATTAATGATTTATATATTTCAGGTTACTTTTCTATTCCGAATAGCCCTGTTTTACTATATTCAACTGCAACAGATATCAGGGTTTTGAATGTTTCAAAACCAAGTAAAGTTCATTTAATCATCAAAGGTCTAGAACAAGGGTCTGCTGTAGACTTTTTGTACATGAAAAATTTAATATGTTGGTCTGACCAAACTGCTGAGCTGATACAATGTATGAATTATAATGAGACATATTCAGGAGAGAAAGTAAGTATTTAATTTATAACTACGCTTTGTATTGTCTTGTTGAGAAATGAATCCATTTCCCAATTAATGTCAAACCAGAAGCAATAAAATCCTTTTTTTTACATTATTCCTTGAATTTGCACAAACCTCCAGTGCTATTGCCCAAGAAGCAACTCTAGACTATGATGGAATTGCCACTAGGCTTGACACTTGGCACCATATCATTTTTTAGACGGAACATAAAATTTTCTTTTCAAACCAAATATTTCATATTTTAATTTGTTAGTCCACAGAATGATTTAAAAACTTTTTTAGTCCAATCTCAATAAGTAAGGGCCCACTGCATACAGTTCTTGTTATTTGTTGGCTTTAGCCATGGTTTTCAGATGGCAACTAAACAACTGAGCATCTCACTATTGTTTTTTATTGTAGTCAATGATACTTGACTATTGCTTTTTTATTGTGCACTTTGATCGGCCTCAATTTATGCCAGTAACTTTTTTTGGTGTCTCTTTTTTAAGTAATGTTGAATGATTTTTTATAAGTGATAATGCTATAAACAAAAACTTAGTGCACCTGAAATTCTTTCGTTTTTAGTTTATGCTACTTACAATATAAACTTTTTTTAATAAAAAATAATAAAACTAATTTTAAAGTTTTGTATTTGAATGCTTACATAAAAACTTTCAGGAAAGAATTGTATCAGAAGGTTTGATCACACCAACTGGGATTGCAATAGACTGGTACACGGACAAAATATACTGGACAGATGGTGAAACTAATAGAATAGAAGTAATAAGTATCAATCAGAAATATAGAAAAGTATTGTTTTGGTCTGAAGTTGACCTAGCAAGAGCTATAGCTGTTGTTCCAAAGGAGGGGTAAGAGCAAACTATGATAATATTCTTTCGAAAGCTTCATGCATTGTCATGTAGTCCCACTAAAAAATTGATAATTAAAGGACCTGTTTTCAAGAACAAATATCATCGGATTTTGTCACAAACTTTTCTTACATAATTACATAAAATAAGTGAAAAAAAGAAAACTATTATAAAATGTATCTCTTTTAGAAAATGGACTTGTTTATTTTGTACATTTACTTATATACATAAAAAAGGCTGTACTTTTTGCAAATTAAATGTTTAAAAGCTTAACACATGCATGTATCAGTTATATTTTATGTAGGGGTGCTCAGGTTAATTTAATTATTGGTAGCATAAGGAGTTGTTACCAGCAGTTTTAACTAACAGATAAAACATTCAAAAAGTTTTACAAATTTTAGAAACTAAATGCCAATGTTTTTAATAAGGTCATTGACTCAAATTGCTTAGCTGTACAATAAATTAAGACTGATATTAAATCTTATTTCTGTTGAAGAATAAACTATTATGTACTTTATTTCATCCCATAAGTAAGATGTAACTAGAGGTTTAGGTGGTAGGGCCTCGCAACAGCCTCGGCTGTTGCACAAATGGGCAGGCCCGTCCGGGTAAGTACCAAGACCTCACAGAAGACCAGCGTAAAGTGGAAGTATGACAAATACTTTCGCGTTTCGTCTGGTGAGTGAGATAGCCGGAGCCCAATTTTCAAAAGGTTGTCAACGCATCTGTAACCCTCGTGTAGCAGATGTCCATGGGCGGCGGTATTCACTTACCATCAGGTGAACCGTCTGCTCGTTTGGCAACTTTTCACATAAAAAAAAAAAAGAAAGGTTCAACTTCTTGGAAGCTAAAAATACTTCTACTATGTTACTAGTGTTGCAGATGTTTCTGGGTGAAATATGTTACCTGTGGTGAAATGCTTACTAGTTAATGTATATTACTCAATAATTAATGATACATTCTTCAGCCGTGATAGCTCAGTGTCCGGGTGTTCGCCTTTAATTCAATATACTCGAGCAACCTGAGTTCGATCCCCGGTGCCGGCACCAATGAAGTTTTTAACGTGAAGTTTTTGACTTATCACGTACATCGTGAGGAAACCTGCATATTTTCGAAATAATAACAAAAAAATATATATTTCGAAAATATGTGAAGTCCGCCAATCCGCAGTGGGGCCGCGTGGTGGACTATGCCCTGATACCCTCTGTATAGAGGAGGTCTTTGCCCAGCAGTGGGACATGTATTGGTTGTTACTTTACTTTTACTTTTTACTACATTCTTCAGGTTAATGTTTTGGACTGATTGGGGTGAAGTACCTAAAATTGAACGAGCTGGAATGAATGGTGATGCTTCCTCACGGAAAGTTATTGTTAAAGAAAATATTTTTTGGCCAAATGGCATAACTGTAGATTATAACAATAATGTTATATATTGGGCAGATGCGAAGCTTCAGTTTGTAGACATGATTGATTTCAATGGAGAAAACAGAAAACGGATTGTAAAAGGGGGTTTGGAGTACCCATATGCCCTTACTTTTTTTAATGAGAAACTATATTGGACTGACTGGAAGAGTTGGTAAGAAAATTTTGTATGTCCTAATAAACCTTATGAATTGTATGATTCTATTTATGTTGTATGTGTTAACATAATATTATACTATACACTTTGGCAGGACAATTTACACATGGGATATTAGCATAAATGGTCCAATAAAAGAGGTTATAAAGTCTGACCCAGTACCAGTTGATGTTAAAGTGTTTGATGGAAGCAGACAATTACTTCCAACAGAGGACTATCCTTGTAAAATAAATAATGGGGGATGCTCTCACCTTTGTTTGTTGTCACCTTTGCCTCCAGGTAATTGAATAATCTTGAATAATCTTTGGTTATTAAAATGAAATTTTTTCATGATTCCCTTAGATTGGCGCTAAATTACAAGACTAGAATATCTTGAGGTTATTATACAGGGTAGTTTTTCTAAAGGTGCCCCTATTCACACAAGAGGTTCAGACTCGGTAGTATAATCGTTTATTAAAATAAAAACATACTTTTCTTTTTCAAAAAAAATTGCCATTCAATTCCCTAAAAAACTGAAATTGTTGACAATGCCATTAGTAGTCATTCATTAATGCGTCGTATACTTTTGAAACGAACTTGTGTGCGTGTTAGTTATGAATGATCGCGCTTAAAATAAATGAGTAGCCCATAAATCACGCACGTTTTGAGATAAGTTCAAATGAATGTATTTAATTCATTACGAGTTATTTTAAATATTTATAATTTTTATATAACATTATTTATCCATTATTTTTAATTAAATTCGTCTAGAATTTTATTGATATATGAACATTATTTATCAAAACATTATTTAAAAATAATGGATACACTTAGAAAAGTCTCCCTGTATTTAGTACCTCTATTTTTAACACCATGGAAATTTAAAGCTTTTTCATCAATTTAACACTGATAAATGAAAATTAACAACCATTTAACACATGAATATTTGCAATATGGCCTTGTCAGATTCTGCAGTAAAATAACTAATGTAATTTTTTATTTCATAATTTAGTTGTGGTATAATTAAATTGTTCTAGCCTTCAAAAACCTACTGTTTTGTATTATATCAGGAACAGTTGATCATGTCTATTTGTTTTTTGTAGTCATTGAAAAAAATTATTCTAAACTGTTTTTTTATATCTAACTGTTTTTATTATTGTTTTATAGGATATGTTTGCGCATGTCCAACAGGCGTCAAGTTGATAGAGGGAAGCAACACAACTTGCTACAACATGCCTCAATCCTTACTTTTGATCGCTCAGCGGTCTATAATTTCAAAGATTTCTTTGGATTCCCCAGACTTTACACCTTATACAGTGCCTTTAAAAGAGCTCAAAAGAGCTTTAACTGTAGATTTCGATCCGAAAACAGAATATATGTATTGGGCCGACAGTCTGGTGAGTTGCTGTTAAGTAATATCTATATATTTATATATTTATTATATACTATGAAATGTATACATATATATTTATTATAACAAAAACATTGATTGTCAAGTTAAAATTTATGTTAGTGAGTGACCAACGATTTTAATGTTTCTGAATGTTAGCATTTGTGGGAAGGAACTTTTATGTTTAAGTAAACCATGTTTTGATGAATATTAACATTTATTACAAACCTATGAAAAATATGTTAGCACAAAATTATAATATAATTCATCCTTGTTAACATTTGTTTGTTAATAAATTACTTATTTCCTTTTCTGACAGTCCAAAACAATATCACGTGCTCGACTGGACGGTAGCGAGCAATCCGTAGTAATACACAGTAGCGGCGTACCTGAGAGCATAGCTATTGATCCACTGGCCAGGAACATCTACTGGACCGATCCCGCCACTGACACGATCAACGTCGCCAGGCTCAACGGGAGCTATAAGAAAGTAAGCGCAAACTATGCAAAAAAGTGGTGCACACTGTTTCTTTTATTCATAAATTTATTCAGATCTTTGCGTCATATACAGTTTATAGGTATGATACTCCATTGTTCGCCATTTTCATTTTTTAAGATTTCGATAAATGACTCCAATGACTCTCAATTTGAATCAAGAGATCATTCGCGCTCCAGACCAGGCTGTGATCGAGCAATACTTATAAGCTAATATTATAATAATTGCTTATAAGTATTCAATATATTTTGATTATTATATGTTTAACACCATCAATATTTGTAATCTCATATTTTTAACACCATCAATTTCATCACGGTGGTAGGGCCACGTAGCAGCTTCGGCTGTTGCACGAATGGGCAGGCTCGTCCGGGTGAGTACCACGACCTAACAGAAAACCAGCGTAAAGTGGAAGTACTTTCGCGTTTCGTCTGGTAAGTGAGGTGGCCGGAGCCCAATTTTCAAAAGGTTGTCCACGTATCTGGAACCCTCGCTAGGCAACTTTTCACATTTAAAAAATGTACCGATTGCACGTTGCAGGTGATAATCCACGACGAGCTCTTCGACCCGAGGGCCATAGCGCTACACCCGACGGCCGGTTGGATGTTCTGGTCCGATTGGAATGAGAAGAAGCCGAAGATCGAACGCGCGAATTTGGACGGCACCGGTCGGACGCTGCTGGTCTCCGAGAAGCTGACCTGGCCCAACGGAATCGCCCTGGACACTGTCAACAACAAGCTGTATTGGGGCGACGCTAGAACCCACAAGATTGAAGTAAGTTCACTTCCCTCACTCGGCTCGAAATGGCATCAGTACCCTGAGTCCATAAGATTTATTTACCTTCGTAATAAAATATAAAAAAAACAGAGTAAAGGTGAAACGGTGAGGTAAAACTGTGACGTCAAGTTCATTTGTAAAGGTCACAAAGCATATGAATGTGTTGAATGAATTTAAAAGAGATAATACATACTGTTAAGGCCCATTTACATGATGCCAGTTTCTTGCCTGTTGTATACAGTTAAATTGAAGCAATAAATGAGTTGCATGGTCTAAACAACAAATGGTCTAAACAATTATTGCGCGCAATTTATTGCATTAAATTATTGCTCTTGTATGTTCAAGAAAATGGCATCGTGTAAATGGGCCTTTAGAAGGAGAGACTTGCAATGCGACGTTGTGGCAACGAATGAAAAAGTCTCTGAACGTATGAATCAGTCAGTTGTAGTTGTATAGGATGTTAAACATTTTTTTTCTTTTTTATTTAAGTTTGTTTGAAAAATATATTTTTTTAATTATGGATTTTTTAACGTTTTATATTGTTTTAATGATTATTGGCAAGTAGCGATAGACGTGTTTTCATTTATTGTCGCCTCTGTAACGACACGCTGTATTTTTTTTATGCGAAAAGTTGCCAAACGAGCAGACGGGTCACCTGATGTTAAGTGAATACCGCCGTCCATGGACATCTGCTACATCTCTTACAGATGCGTTGACAACCTTTTAAAAATTGGGCTCCGGCTACCTCACTCACCAGACGAAGCGCGAAAGTATTTGTCATACTTCCACTTTACCGCTGGTCTTATGTGATGTCGTGGTGCTTACCCGGACGGGCCTGCCCGTTCGTGCAACAGCCGAGGCTGCTGCGTGGCCCTACCACCGTAAAAATGTATGTGTATATCGAAATTACCTATATTAAATATTAAGGTTGTCAACCAGCAATATATTACGTGTTGTAGACGTCAATGCGGTATTCATAATAATTAACATCAAGTGAATGACTCCCTCATAAAAAAACCAAGCCTATTTACTGGGCTTTATCTCCCTACACATGGCAAATATACGAAAACCTTGTATTAATTCTTGCATTAATTCTTACGGATTGAAAGAATTAAATAAGTACATTATTTAATTTTTTCGTGTTTTTACAGGTCTGTAATATGGATGGCAGCGATAGGAGGGAATTGCACAATAGCGACATCCTGCATATTTTCGGTTTAACACTGCTCGGCCAACATTTGTATTGGACTGACATACAGCGACGGACATTAGATAGAATCGATAAAAATAACGGTAACTACTGTTTAGTTTATTATTATATAATGTTTGTTTTTAGTTTTTGTGCATACAAAATATGTGCACAGGCGGATTTAATGCCATCAATATCTACCAGTCAACCTTTGGGAAGTTTAAGTAGGTGCATTCAATGTAAAAAGAAAAAAAAAAGAGAGATCATTGAAAAATCAAATGTGTATTTTGAAGCTTGTTGTAAAATTACAAGCCAGCTGGTTACAAGGAATTTAAAAAATATAAAAAACAATGTTGGAAATATTTCGAAACGCCAGTTGGCGCAAATAGAGTGAATATCTGTTTGATGACAGGATGAATACTCACGATCTTGTGGCGAACGTATTGTTATTGCAATACCCTACCTAATGGGTATAGCGATGTAAATTATTTTACTGTAGATTGTATATTTACTATTTATTTTTTGTTTTAAAACCTATTGATTAAATTAGCTGGGGTTTAACTAATATCTCACTGCGCACACGCATTCGCGCGAAACGCAGGTGTTTTTAATGCAGAACGGCTTGGTGTGCTTCTTATTCTTTTCATCTGCACCAGAAACTGGTCGTGCAAAATTTAAATGTTGTCGTCGAGAACCTGAAAATGGCAAACTCTGATTGGAAATTTCCTTACGAGCCGTTACTAGCGCTTCTTTTGTCACCAAGTCGTTATAAAAGTTATGAAGCTAAGTAACTAACGGCCGTAGCCGGAGCCCACTTAAAAGGAGGCAAGGCATCTACAACCCTACGCGTGTTGCAAATGTTAATAGGCGGCGGTTATTACTTAAAATCAGGTGAACTGCCAGCTCGCTTGCCACCTTCTGATATAATAAAACTATTGTATTTTACCTACATACCTGTATATTGTATTTTGTTTTTATTATTATCATGGTGTATAAAGTTTTGTTCTTGTCTGATTGAGTATATAAGATAATAAAGATAAATAAAACGAAATAAAGTGTACATAAAACTTATTGTTTTGTAAATAAGGTTTGGAGAGGCAGCCCGTGGTGGAGCAAATGGCGAACATGATGGGCGTGAAGGCGTTCCGCCTGGGGGAAACGTTGCCCAGCAACCGCTGCAGCGATACCAACGGCGGCTGCTCGCACCTCTGCTTCAACAGGCCCCACGACTATGTCTGCAGCTGTCCATTGGGTAAAGTAACAGCCCATACAAGTCACACTGGTGGGCAAAGGCCTCCTTTGTACAGAGGGTACTAGGGCATAGTCTACTACGCGGCCCCAATCCAAGTTGGCCTTCCTACTTTTTTGAATGGTGGCAACGCATTCATCGTCATTGAACATCAGGTGACTGGCGGTTTACCTGATGTTAAATGATATGCCTCGCTTGCCATCTTCATATATAAAAAATATATATATATATATTCGAAATATTTTTATACGAAACGTGGGGATTTAAGAGTTTAAGAGTTTGTTATTAAACATTTAGGTCTAGAACTACAAAGCGATAGAAAAACGTGTATCGAGCCGGATGCATTTCTCGTGTATAGCCGGAAAAATATCATCGGTCGGATCAGTACTGAGAACGAGAATAATGACGCTGTTCTGCCCGTGAAGGAGTTAAAAGAAGTTAGGTAAATATAATTTCTCTTGCCTTAAAATTAGATCTGTTTGATTTGAAGTAACTTTGAAATTTATCTGATTCCCTATATTTCTTTCTTTCTTATGTTTAACATACCTATATACCTACATAAATACACCAAACACCAAACGTAAGAGATACTCACACCAAGTGTTGTTTAATAAAATTTTAATAGGAAACCAACCTTACTCTGAAATGCTGAATCAGACCACTATTAAAGTTACAGCAATCCTTTTTTTTGAACGACGTTAAATCGATTGTTTGTTGTAGTGCCTTAGCAGTTCACGTGTCAGGCGGCAAGATATATTGGTCGGATAGTAAGACGAAGACAATAAACCGCTGCTCAGTTAACGGATCTAACATGGAGAAGATTCTAGAGTGGATGGGATTGGTTGAAGGTATTTAATTCTTATACATTTTTATTTATGGGAGAAGTTGGTAAACGTGTAGGCCGTCCATCTAATGTTAAGTGTTTACCAAAAATAATTTTTATAAATAAATTCCATTTAAGTATTATGTATCGTATATTTTAACATTTATTTCGGCCTTTATTATTCTTGAGATAATTTTTTTATTATTATTTAATGTTTTATGTAATCTTACATACTTACGAACAATACTTATTTGATCTTTGTATTTAATTTACTTTAAGTTATTTACAGTTTTTTTTATTTATTTATTAACATTCCAGTCTACATAAGACATTCACTTAGGCACGAAGTAATTAGTAGGGTTCGCTTATTAGGTTTCTCGACGCGTGGCAAACTTCATAAACCTTGGCACAAAACGAAACCATAGGACTCTCATTTTCCAGGTCTGGCGATAGACTGGTCGGCCCAGAACATCTATTGGACGGACACGGCCGCACAACGCATAGAGGTGGCTCGCCTCGACGGCTCCAGTAGACGCACGTTGCTTTGGCAAGGGCTAAAGAAACCGAAGAGCATTGTGCTCGATCCTAAAAAGGGGTGAGGATATCACTATTAGCCTACATAATATAACGCGAAAACATGTGTATATCTTAGTAAGAAGTAAGAGAGTGTTATCCATAAAAATACATGTATGTGATTTTTTTTATGTAAGACGGGCAAGCGAGCTAGCGCTCCACCTGATGTTGAGTGATAACCGTCACCCATGGATGGACATTTGAAACACCAGTAGGGTTGCAGGTGCGTTGCCACATTTTAAATAAAGTTGGCGTTACTTGATAATTTTTCTTTTTTTTTAATGTAAGTCATCCAATAAGGTTAAAGCCGCACGGACGAAGTTTTATTTTTCATATCGTTTAACTAGTATTCTTTTTTTGTGATTATCAAAATAGTTTGTCGGTATCGCACATTAATGAAAGGAACTACACCAATGTAAAAGATCCGTGAGGTAAATATTACCTTTAAACATTTCAGATACATGTATTGGTCAGAGTTGGGATCTAAAAACATCAAACGCGCCGCCATGGACGGTTCTTCCCCGACAGTGTTAATGGAACAAGTGGGCCGTGTACATGCTTTGGCCATAGACTACGAAAAACGTACAATATATTGGGCTGCTTTGGACCCCCCTGCCATAGAGTACGCCTTCCTGAACGGAACCGGGAGAAGGATGTTAGTCAATAACATATCGATGCCTTACGCTCTAACTCTTTACGGTGATAGAGTGTTTTGGGGAGATTGGAATACCGGTAAGTAGAAAAAAATTATTAAAAAATTCGAATCGTACAATAAGTCGAGCAGTGTTATGTATAACTCCTTTGAGAAGTTAAAGTATTTATTCTTATTACGCAGTGACTGAACCAACTAGAAAACTATCATTTCATAAGTGGCGATAAAATAATGGCGATCGCACAGAGACTTGACTTTAGCCCTATTGCTCTTTCCAAAGTAATGGGTTGATCATTTATTCTCAACTCCTAAGTTGTCACGGGACGGATTTCACAAACAAAGTAAAACGCGACAAATTCCTTGCAATTGTTTTATTTAACCCAGTGGCGCCGATTCTAAGCTATTGGCTTCGGCGTCGTGGGTCGCGGGTTCTATTCCCACACGGGACAAGTATTTGTGTGACCCACAGACAATTGTTCCGGATCCGGGTGTTTGTTTCCCGAGGCGGCCGGCCGTAAAAACAGTCGAAACCGCGTACAACACGATTCATACGTGGTGCCGACCCCATCTGGGATAAGGGCAGGAGGATGATGTTTCACTTAACCATGTGTGGTGTTCGCGCGCGTGCAGAAATCGGCGCTCGTGTCGGTTAGAGCAGAGGTAGCGCGAAGAGATCAGTGTTGATGTCAGCGTGGGATTCCCCGTCCACAGGGCTGGTGGAGGCGGCGAGCCGGTCGGGCGGCGGGCGGCGCGCGCTGCACGGCGGCCTGGACTACCTGTCGGACCTGAAGGTGTTCCGGCGCGGGCGCGAGCCGGAGGGCGGCCAGTGCGCGGCCGACAACGGCGGCTGCGCGCACCTCTGCCTGCCGCGCGCGCCCGACTACCGCTGCGCCTGCCCCGCCCACTACCGCCGCAACGCCGACAACCTCACCTGCTCCGGTGCGCCACGCGCTCTTTGCACCGCTGCACTCGCCTGCTGCCCGCTCCCTATATCCAACGGACGGCCGTTAGTTACATAGCTCCGCAACTTTCATAAAACGACTTGTAGACAAAAGGCGTGTAAGAGCCGTTGCATTACCTACGGAAAGTGCGTTCCTTTAATCTACGAGCTATGTAACTAACGGCAGTCATCGTTATTATTATCGCTATCAGTATCGGCTTCATTACGAGATTATCGCTCCCTAACGATAGACGCGGTGATTCTTCTCACCGCCGTCGTCATCGTCACAATTTTCTTCCTTATTTTTTTTATTTTTATGTGACAAAGTGGCAAACGAGCTGGCGATTCACCTGATTTGGTTATTAATTGATAACCGCCGCCCATGGACATTTGTAACATCCGTAGGGTTTCACCTTTTAATAAATTGGGCCCCGGCTACCTCACTCACTAGACGAAACGCAGAAATGTAAAACTTCTACTTCACGCCGGTATTCTGTGAGATCGTGTTACTAACCCTATTGGACCTGCCCATTCGTCCAACAGCGAACCACCCACCGCCGTCTTATTATCGTCACTACCGCCATTGCTAACAGGCCAATATCGATTTATCGATATCATTAAGAACCTTCGCCCTGTTCCCTGCTTCTAGTACTCGATAATTTCCTTTTACTGTTGACTTCGTCGTCTTCGTCATCACCATCGTATATTAATATGTAATGTTTATAAAACTAGATATTGTAACCACTGTGTAATTTAAATTAATTCACGTAACTCTGATGTCCAGTTTATATGTCAACGCTTTCAAGTGTTATACTGGTCTGTACATGCGCAATTAATTAATTATAAATGTTTTTTTTTTATTAATTTGATAAGTTATTTTATCGAAAAAATTGTGCGATCTAAACATGTTTGATATAACATTATATACATTTTAGTAAGCGAATTTTGATAAAATGAAACCCGAAAGTGATATCATTATGTGGTTTATTTATTCATTAAGAAAGGTTGTTTGTTCAACGTCAGCAATAGTTAATAAGAGACATTCTTTGTTTCACAGAACCGGAAGAATTTCTTTTGTTCGCCCAAAAGAATGCTATAGGCCGGATATTAGTCGCTAGCGGGGAATGCAATGATGCGTTTATACCTTTGACTGGGCTTAAAAGCGTCAAGGCTATCGAGTATGATCCCGTTAACAAGTGAGTAGTGACTTACAAAATTGCTAATAACTATTTTTTGGATGGTTTTCATCACTATGTCATATTTGAATAAAAACGCTAGTCTTGATTATGGAATAGCTAATAGTGCCGCCATTTTGACCAATTTTAATTTTTTTTATTATAATGATTTTCAACGAAGTGCCTTTTGAAACATATTATAACTTTTTAAGCCAATTATAGCTGTCATAGAATATAATAATGTTAAATAAATAAAATAAAAAATATGTGATAGAAATATTCAAATTAAATTAAATACGTAATAACATATTTTTGTTTAGACATCTATACTGGATGGACGACGAGTCTCATGCGATCCGTCGTGTTCCCATCTCTTACTCAACCACGTCGGCAATAACTGACTCGAGTCCAGTCATAAGCGGTCTCACGCGGCCATTCCACATGGTGCTGGACCTGATCGGACGCGCGCTGTATTGGACGTGTTTGGACAGCGACTCCATCAATGCCACATCCATTGAGAACAGTTCCTACACGGGCGTCATTATGCGCGGGGAGAAGATGATGCCCAGGCATTTGGCTTTTCACCAAACAAAGCGGTGAGCGGAATTTCTTCGCAAATTTTACGAAAAATACTAATTTACGAGTTCGGTATTTTTTCTTGTGTCCCCTGTTAAATATTTTTGATTCTATTTTGCGGTTGCATATTTTAGCGAACGGTACAGTCGATTTGAATTAGAATTTTAGAATTACATGATCCGAACGAACTTCTCATTTACTGTCAAAACATACTTTGTAAAGTTAACAGTTTGACATATATCGCTATTAGTGGCTTTTAGCTCCTTAGTCTTATATGTATAAATGGTGGGTTGGTGTTCTAAAGCAATCGTTTATCATTGCGATTGTGTGTAAACAGCTCTTTAGCTGAAACTATTTTAGGAGGATATGTTAAAGCGGTTCGCCTGGTGATTGATATCCCTCGCTTCGACAATTCCTTTTTTTATTTTTCTTAGTTAAGGGACGTTTATTTATTGCGTATGTCAGTCTCGTCGTACTTGTATCACTTTAACGATACCATAAACATAAAAATAACTTATTATTTGAAAGATATTTACTTTGTTATTTGAGTAAATAACAAATTTTGCAGGAAAATTATTACGGAGACCTAAAATTGAATGAAAAAGTTCCACTTCAAATCTATGCAAATTGAATTATAATAATCCGATTAGCGTAGTGAATATTGGACCTGTGTTTTGTGTCCGTGCGTGGGCTTGGTCCACACTACTGGAAAAATTTGTGTAATAAACATAGTATATTTCTAGTGTCTGGGTGGTATACATCTATAAAATTTATTTATTAACAAAAGACAAGTATAACTAAGTATGTTTATCAGTTACCTCTCCATAGTTAATTAAGAAAGTTTACAAAGAAAGAAGTCGTGGTTGTGTAACATCCGAGAATGGACCGCGATAGCGAGCGTACTACCTGAGCTGTACCGCAAAGCTAAAAATAAGAGAGATAGAGAATTTAACAAGCGGATAAATAACCGTCACTAGTTGGGTAGTACAAGCTTTGCTTATGCCCGGTTCATATATTCAACGAACGGCCGTTAGTTACATAGCGTCGTAGCTTTCATAACGACATGTAGATAAAAGGTATGTACGCCCGGTTCCTATATTAACAAAACGAGGCGGTTTCCTTACGAAAGTGAATTACTAGCGTTCCTTTAATCTACGACTCGTAACCTATAAGGCGAAATGTCGCATTTTGTTTAACGGTGACGTTCCCACGCAGGCTGCTCGTGTGGAACGACGTGGGCGCGGGCGCGATAATGCGCGCGAACGCGGACGGCACCGCGCGCGCCGAGCTGGCGGGCGCGGCCAACGCCACCGCGCTGACGGTGGACCAGGCCGCCGGCACCGTGTACTGGGCGCTGGGCAGGCAGATACACGCCGTGGACCTCGACGGCGCCAACAAGTACGTCGCCGTGGGCGATTTTTTTTTTGGGGCAGCCTAGTTTGCGGCAGCCCGGCGGCTTTATAGTTTCCGCGGGAGACGTCTCATGGGAACAACGTGGCTGGTGCACGACGACGACACGGAGTTGGCTGCACTCCGCAACGCCCGGCTGACGACAGATGAGCTATTGACTAAAGGGGTACAGGAGGGGGATAAAAAAGTCACGATCCACTCAGATGCAGGTGCGATCCTCGTGATAATAGGACCTGTCCAGAGGAAGGAGTAAGGTCGAAATTGCGATTTAATCGTGAGTATTATACTAACAAGCTTTTGATAGTGTTCTGAATATTTCCGTATTCGAACGCGATAAAAGAATTCGTGCATCAATCCGTTCAAAACAGAAGACGAATGAATTCACATAATTTTGCATGTATAATATTAAGATTGACGTGAACGACATGAACGCCGCATTGAATCTGAAACGTCGCGGGCGAAGAATAAATACCAACGCGATATAATGCGTGAAGTGGTCGTTGACACCAGCGTCCGAGATTGGCTTACGCATGACGACGTCGCCCGCTGCGATTACCGCACTTCGCATACATAACCGGAAAAGGCAAGCGAACGCGCTCCGAAATTATTCACCTTATTTTGTGTTTTTGGCAACTGTGACAGGCCACGAACTTGCAATCGTCATATACGAAATCTGGGGGCGCACTGATATCGGTGTATCGTATTGCAGGCGGGTGGTGTGGCAGGGGGGGTGGGCGGGCGCACTGGGCGTGTACGGGGGCGCGCTTTACTTCAGCGGCGGCGAGCGCGCGCTGATGCGGGTGCCGCTGCACCGGAGGGAGGCGCCCGCGCAGCCAGTGCCCCACCTTGCGCGCCTCGCCGCCCTCCTGCCCGTCACCAAGGTTTTTTTTTAATTTTTCAAGCGACCTGGTGTTTCACCTGTTTTTAAGTAATCACTTATAAACAGGTGAAATGTCAGCTCATAAACACCGCCGCCCATAAATATCTACAACAACCGATGGTTTGCAGATGCGTTGAAAATCTTTAAAAAAGTGGATCACTTACAGATGAAAAGCGAAAGTCGTATACTAAAAGTTCACGTGAGTCTTCAGTGAGGCCGTGATACTTACCCGCACGGACTTGTCCATTCGTGCAACAGCAAAGGCCGTTGCTTAGCCCTACCACAGTTAAAGATTGAGCAATCAACGCCGCCCATGAACATCTTCAACACCTCGGGGGATGCAGATGCGTTGCTAACCTTTTGTGCAATGGGCCTCACCACTTAAACGATGATCCTCACGATGTTTTCCTTCACCGTTGAATACTCTTTATGTGTGAATATTTTTTGCGAATGCCTCCTGGTTGGAATCCGTATCGAGTGAGCGGCACGTTCGCGGCGCAGGTGGCGCGCGAGCACCCGTGCTGGGGCGGAGGGGCGGCGGCGCGGTGCGGCTCCGCGCCCGGCGCCTGCCTGCGGGGCGGCGCGTGCGGCTGCGCGTTGCGCTGTGCGCCGCAGCCGGCCTGCGCGCCCGACCACGTGGCCTGCGCGCCCACGCCCGACCGCGCGCCCCACTGCATCCCGCGCGCCTGGAAGTGAGTTGCGACGCGCGCCCCGCGATTTATTGTAAAAGTAGAGTAAAACCCTCGATATAGAGGGTATTAGTGCATAGCCCAAAACGCGACCCCTTTGGAAATATGTTTGTTATGTTATTATTCCGATATTACACAGGTGCTCTAACGATGTTTTCCTTCACTGCTGAACACGTAATGATTCAGCACCGTGATTTAACTCAGGTTGCTTCGATTAGATTAATTAAACAGCGAGCGAGCCTGAGCTATCACCGCTCTTATTAATGTATAGCCCCAATAATTCAATCCCCCAAGAAAGACCAAAATGTAAATATTCTTACCAGCCGTTCGGTGGTTATATACCAAAAGAAACGTTATGATCTTCATGTATGTAATTTGGCTTTCCCTAGTACTGCGTTCACCATCTGCAGTTGCAGTCTGGCACATTTTTCGCATGAAAAAAAGCTATAAAAAGCTAACTTCGACTACTTTCCTTTGCTATCTTTCAGGTGCGACGGCACCGTGGACTGCCCGGATGGGTCAGACGAGGGCCCTGAATGCGGCTCTTGCACGACGGGGCTGCGCTGCGCTGACGGCTCGTGCGCCGCAGCACTCGGCGCCTGCCCCACCGGCGCCTACTGCGCGGCCCCGCTGCCAGCCGCCTTTCGGTGGGTCGACCATTCTTCTATAGTCTCTGGTTGAACTTCGTTACTGCCAGTGTTACTGCCCCTCTCTGTTGCTTCCCCGCAAACATATTGCCTCATTAACCTCAAGACAGTGATCATTGCATCTGCGAGAATGCGATTGCGGCTGGAGGAACAGGTTAACATACTAAATTGTTCCTGCTCCGCGATCGGATCATACCCAAATATAATTAATAGTAAATAAAATAAAATAAACAATAGTAACGTACGTAACCAATAAAGCAATATCGAAGACACAAAGAAAAACTATAGGCAAGAAATACGTAAAAGAATAATATACATATATTTGAATATTACAAATATAACACAAAAAATATAAACAACAGGACAAGAAAATAATTATTACCATTATAAAATATTGAAGTACTTCGATACGAAATTAAAATGGTATAGCTTAACATTATATTACTCAGCATTCACTATATGCGAATCGATTACTAACTGTAGATTCCTAAATGTTGATTCTTTTTATTACCAACTAATTGGGAGTCACTAATGTACGAGTATGACGGGTCCGGCTCGGCCGAAGATGTTCTACGTCCTCATTGAGCAGTAAGCATGAATTACAGATAAATATTTTTTAGCGTTCTCATACGTGAGCAAATCAGGAAATCGGGTAGCCCACTCTTTTATAGATAGACAACATAGATAACTTGAAGGTGCAAAGCCGTCCAAGATTTCCTGGGGCAATATTTCGATTCCAACGGGCCCCGATTATTCGTGTTACCCTACACGATGTCATTTTTTACAATTAACTTTTACTTCAGTAACCCGTTGACCATTTATTAATTAATTGAATCACTTACAGATGTGATCAACGTCTGTGCTTGGCACCACCGTTACTGTGCGATGGACGGCTTCACTGCGAAGATGGATCTGATGAACTGCCGACTGCTTGTGGATACGGACAAAAGGAACCGGTAAGACTTTAAAACAAAGTATTAGTGTATTATAATTATGTATTGTTATTTATTTATATTATATATATATATATATATATATATATATATATATATATATATATGTATATATATATATATATATATATCCTGTATTATAATTAGGTATTGATATTTTTTTATTTTATTGAAAATCATTTTTGTCTGTTTTTCTTTTACGAATATGTTTGTTTTATCCGCAAAGCGATGCATATCCAGGCGAAAAGCGATGCATATCATCCTTATATCGAGTATAGACTGGAAGTTTTCGTAGGTGTTCCTTTCATGTTTTAATTGGAAAAAAAAAATGCCTATTACAAGCCTGCCGCGTTTAAATTTGTGAATGCACGGTAGATGTTCATATTTACGAGTGCTTGTGAGAAGCCATCATAGTATACGGAACTTACATTTTCCTCAGAGCAGAGAGGCGGGCGTTGCCCATAAGTGAGACGAATAATGTACAGGCCGCGTTTTACTTGTGTCGCAGAGCGGTCGGCAATCGCGCGCGCTGGTGGTGTGCGGCGCGCTGGCGGGCGCGGGCGCGGGCGTGGCCGGCGCGTGGGCCGCGCTGCGCCGCTGCCGCCGCCCCGGCCGCCGCGCGCCCCCCGCCCGCCCGCTGGTGCCCATCAAGCCGCCGCCGCCGCGCGCACGTCCGCTCGGCGCGAGCTGCTCCGAGTGAGTGAACTTCGTTAAAACTGTTTTTCTTTCTTTTCTTTTTTTACTATGGTTGGGCCACGCAACAGTTGCTTCGCTGTTGCACGCATGCGCGGCTCCGTCCGGGCAAGTACCGCGTCCTCATATGGGTACCAGCATGAAGTGGAAGTGTTATACTTCTGCGTTTCCTCTGGTGAGTGAGGTAGCCGGGGCCCAATTTACTAAAAGGTGGCAACGCATCTGCAACCCTACGGCTGTTGCTAATCAGCTGTCAGGTGAAACCCCACCTCACATAAACAAAAGCTATTTAAATTAAGAACCTATAGTCCGTGGGTCGTAACTTGGTGCAGGTGACAGCTGACATTTAAATCACACCCTTTGAATTCCATAATTTGTGATGTACGCAAGGCAATGTGGCACTTTATTGATAGAAGTTATTATTATACCGCCATTTATTATCCCTAAAAGTGCATGGATAATGACGTTATTACTTGGGTCATCTCACCACAGCCGATAAATAAAATAAATCAAGTAACTGTTTTTCTTTCAAATTAAAGTATGGATTTGTATAAAAATTGATATCAATAAATTGGTGCATACAAAAAAATGGAAAAATGGATTGAACGTCAATGGATTGCCAAACATTTTGATAATTATAAAACTTACTAATATATACAGCGTGTCGTTACCATCGTGACAATAAATGAACACACATATAGGGGATAACTTTTTAAAGTTGTATTAAACATTTAAATTCTTTATACATCAATATTTACAGAGTTATTAAATTTTCCAAAACAAAGAATTTTAGAACACCCTTACCTATAAAAGCGTAACGTAAAGTTCATTTGTCACAAAGCATATGAATGGGTTGAATGAATTTAAAAGAGAAAAAACATACTGTTAGAAGAGAGGCTTATACGACGCTGTGGCGCGAGTTGTATAGGATGCTACAAATTTTGTTTCTTTTTTACTTAATTAGTTTGTTTGAAAAATATTTTTTTTTAATTATGGATTTTGTTTAACGTTAATATTTTTTTATGATCATTGGCAAGTAGCGTTAGACGTGTGTTCATTTATTGTCGCGATGGTAACGACACGCTGTATAAGATAGTTATAGACATTTTATTTTATTCATTTTTATTTTTTTACATTACATTTTATTTAAATTATGGCTAAACTAACAGCTTCACAGAAAAATAGATTTGATATACGGGCCGTACGGTGTCAAATGACGTACGAAAAGTGTCATTGAACAGTCATCTAACACCGAAACGCGCGTCCGCAGCCTGGTGTGCAGCTCGTTCGACGACCGCGCCACGGAGAGCCTGTGCGAGCGCTACCCGCGGCCCACCGCCAACCCGCCGCCGAGCCCGGCCACCGCCAGCGGCGGCAACGCGGGCCGCCGGCGCGCCTACCGCCACTACCGCGCCATGAACCGCCCGCCGCCCCCCACGCCCGCCTCCACCGACGCCTGCGAGTCGGAGCCCGAGCCGGCCGCGCGCGCGCCGCCCCCCTCGCCCGCGCCCCTCGCATACTGACCGCCTCGCCCGTCGCGGTTCATCGAAGCCCAACTGAAGCCTCTCACCGGGGCGCGCTCTAATAGTAGTAAGACGAAGCATATCCAGAAATATACAGAACCCGGTTGACGCGGATCTCGCCTAGCGTGATTAATTCACATCAAACTGGAACCTCTCACCGTGGCGCCGATCAAATAGTACCGAACCCGGTTTCCGCGGCTTTCGCCTATCGTCGTTAATCGAAGCCCAACTGAAGCCTCTCACCGAGGCCTGCTGAATTCAAATAGTCGAACGACGAAGACCAATGAACTGTCTTCGCTACGTTGGCGTTTAAGGCTTATATGTCTAATTTTTCAAACGGCGAAACCTAATGAATTGAGATTCGACAATAACATAGATAGTTGAAAAACAACAACAATAGTAATGAAACATTATTAAAGAAGGTACTATTAAATAACGCTATGAAAATGATTCTGGATCAGAATAATACAACATGTGTGATTACCGTTGGCAAACGCTTTCCCACCAAATCTAGAATTTGGGGTTCTTATTGGATGGAAACGCGACAAGCGGTGGTTAATATGTTTTTGTCGCGATATGTTACCTATTTGTGAACTCTAGTATCACATCGATATTTAAATCATGTGAAACATACGTAAGGAAACAGGCGCAAAAAAAATTATACAGAAAGCCTTTTTAGTATTTATTCTTTTTCAAATCACCTTTTTATACTATGCCCATATTGGCAAAATCTTTCTATGTTACACAAGCTTGTTCACACATAGAGATTAGGCAAATTTTATAATAAACAATATATTTATATTATATATATAATCATAAAACATAGGTTAATAAATTTTTTCCTACATTTAGTAAATAGGCGAAGATTGGGATTTTAAGTTTTGTGAAAATAAAACTTCTGCTCATTCCTTTTATAGACGAAAAAATATTCTGAACCAAATTTTACCTATGCTCATAGCATAGTTTATTATTCCCTTTCAATTAATATATTATAGTTCTACATATTATGGCTGCTGTTTATTAAGAGCGGTTACAGTCTTAATATTTTAAAATGTTATACATAGATTTCGTAGTATTTTTCATTACGTTACGAATAACCATTCCTAACAGTCTGCCCTCTGCTGGGATCATGACGGATTATTGTAATAATCTAGTAATGTGGTTTTAAAAGATTATTCAGTGAATAATGCCTATTCAGATCCAATTCGGCTGCTAATTGAAAGTGACAAAGCGAATTCGATTTTTAGCTTGGCCGTAAAATATTTGATAGACATAGACTTAAATCGGAATCCGTAATAGACCGAGTTGGGAATCTAAACCATTCTCGAATCCAATTGAACAGCAAACACACAAAAAATTTCATCAAAATCGGGTGGGCGTTTAGGAGAAGTTCGGTCATATATACACCCACAGAAGAATTATATATATTTGTGTCGGATATGACGCAGTTGCTAAGCTATTGGCTTCTGCGCCTGGCGTCGTGTACCCCACGATAATTGTTTCAGATCTGGGTGTTTGTACACAAGGAGGGTTGACGTCAGGCAGGCGGCCGGTTGTATAAAATATATAGCCAATATCACTCCCAACATGACTCAGATGTGCCAGACCCCACCTAGGTGGGATAAGGGCAGGAGGGTTATGATTATCACAACAACCTTTAATAAGTCTTTTCATTATTACTGTGTTCATCTTGAGCAATATGGTTGCAGAGTGTTAGACAACGAATTTTTACTTAGAATTTTATCGTCATTTGAATGAAAGTCAAAAGCCTTTTACCTCGACACACCTTCATATTTGTCTTTTATCAATAGGGTCTGAGTAGAACGCCTATAAAATACGGATTGCAGTCTACGCCGTTATACATCATTCATGTTCCAAGTTTAACATGTAAATATGGTGTTTTATTATATGAGAGCTATAAAAATATGACCTTCCTTTTTTAAAAACATCGTACAGTGTGTTTCGGCGCAGGCCGAGAGATTTGACTAGTGAAGATGTGGTGGTTGTGGTGTGTGGTGAGATGACATTGCTTATTGCGATGTTTCCTTTCAATAAGGTGAAATTTCAATCTGGTGCTATTTCACTGTTCGTGCCTCAGTAGTCTTAGTTCTGTTAGTGTTAAAATATGTGTAATTTAACAAATTAATTATTAATGTAATATGTAAATAGTTTAATATAAGATTGTTAAATGACAAGATCTCTATGGTGAAGAACTAGACAAAAGTTAATCTATTTGACGCATTATACGTAAGCCTCGGGGGTGATAATTTAAACTTCTCCGAATTTACAAAACATGGTAAGGCATACAGATACATATCATCTGAATTATTTCTTAGTTTCACTTTTAAATCCGGGGTTGTGTATATGATGGTCGTATGAAGTATTAATAACGGATATATAAATTAAAACCTCTTTGCCAACTTGAAATTTTAAAAAACTTATATTTACAGTTAAAACATTGTGCACATCCATTAATATTTTATCTTTTTAATTAATATAAATTAATTATTATAACTCTTAAAATAGCACAAATTTTCTTCACATTTCTTGCTAAACACAAATAATGTTACTCATAAAAATGTAATTTAAACACATCTATTATCTTTTTCGTTAGATTGACTGATTTTAGTTTTTTTAACTTGTGTAGGTTTTACAATAAAATTATAATACTGTTTAAATCTATTAGATATAAAGTTGTTGTAATTGAGTGTTATTGTTATGATCCTAACTAACACTTAAGGATAAGCAACATGTAAACATCAGACATCAAGTAACAATTATAAATTTTGTGTGTTTTTGTGCCTAACAACATGACAGCTAATGTTTTGTATCTACATACTTTATTATTAATTTATACTTTGTGCGGTGTTTTAAATAGGTATTGCATTTATTGTATAGTTTTAATCATTAAAATATTGTATGTTTGAGATTTAAACATCCTGGTGTATTATACCTGTATGGGTCTATTTTGGATAAATGTTGATTTGGATATGTTGCTTTATTATTTTCTATTTGTACTACTTATACTGACCGACTTGAGATTTCTAAAAATAAAACTTCTGTACCTGTTTATTTAGATTTTTATTTCTACCTCATGTTACGGATTTCTGCAGTTTACTTTTAATTGAAATTCCTGAATTTTCGAATGCAGCCTCCATGGCCACGGAGCAGGTAGACATTCCTTCAATATACAATTCAACAATTGATTGAACAGTTTGTGAAACACTATAAAGTAGTGTCGGCATTATCTGGTGTGTCAGCCATAGCCAGTTTTGAAGTTGAAGAAGCAATTTGATTTGGTGCATTCCGACGTTGAATTAATGTTTGACCTGCTACTCGTTAAGTCTAAAAAGACAAAACTAAACTCCCAGCTCAAGTGAGAAAAGACTGAAAGTTTTGGTTTTCGTGAAAAAAAAAATCATGTCTGTTGTATGGGAGCCCATTTAAATATTTTCTATTGTGTTTTTATTATCTGTTTTTATAGCGGCAACAGAAATACATCATGGTGACAGACGGACAGACAGACATACAAGGAAGTCTTAGTAATAGGGTCCCGTTTAACCCTTGGGTGCGGAACCCTAAAAAAGAATTTTCTAATGTGTATGGGTGATTGAAAGTAATTTGGTCGCTTCACTTTGGTAGTAACATACACAAAAGATTGACTTAACGAGATATCATCGGAAATACGTTTGAACGATTTCATGGACGGGGCATACCATACTTTTGTCATGGTCATGCTCTTGCATGACATCATGATTCGCCAACCTTAGCGTCAAGCTACTTTATGGGATACTGAAATTTAGTCTGAAGAATGTCTTACAGAACAAGTGTAACCGAACTGTTTGAAGAGCATCAGAGGCTTCAGAAAAGTAACATGTAGGACAGGAAGATTTGTAAACAAGGAATTTAAAATAAATTGCAGAAAAATTTATATTTACATAATACTGAAAAATTTAAATCGCACCATGAGATTATAAATCATATTTTCTTTGATATCTTTTGGAGTCAAGAGGACGATAACAATATGTGGGTATGCAACCACATACACCGTACAAGTTTAGATAAAATATCATCAGTATGGTTTACTTTTCGCACGCAGCAGCGACCAGAAATAGTTATTGCATTTTTTAATGGGGGGGAAAATAAACTAATCGATACACGATAAAGTAAAGATTAGAAACAGTTAAATCTGGAGCAGGGATATTTTATTTATGATAATGCACCGTATAACCGTAAGAATAAAAACTGGGTCCAAGAGGACTGCTTCGTGAGCGAATAGAGTGCGTGCGAAAAGTTGTGGTTGGCAGATTCAAGGCCATTCTCCTTGTTCGTATAACCCAGGTTGTGTGTTTTCAGGTGAAGAAGTGTATTTGTGCTATTTTGCATTTGGCTATTTTCCCCATACTGCGCGACTAGGCGGGATTGCACCAATGATGTGATGATGACCAAGGGAGGAGAGCAATGTCTGTATTCTGTATTGCGATCTTTTATTCTCCCTCCGCGTAGATGTGGTGAGCGTCGGACCGAGCGTGTGACAGAGACCAGGGCCGCCAATAGGGGTTGGGTGAAGTGCTGGCCTCTGTAGTTTCTCCCTGGCTCTCATGGGCTCTGGCGGTCCCGAGGGGGTCCGTTGTCCAAAAGGGCAAAGGACAAAAAGGGCAGAGTAGACATTATCTGAAGGAGCGGGGGGTTGCTCCCAGAGAAGGTGTTGCTTAGGCTGGAGAACGGTATCGGAGACCAATATACTTTACGGCCGACGTCGTCCAGGTCCGTTTCTTTGATATGGTAGCAAACCTCGCGCTAAGCAAAGCCGTCTGCAGATTTGCACCTCTTCTCCCACCGACGCAGCACGCTTGTATACTATTAATGTATACCGTTGTGTAACACGAACTACACGAAAAATCGTTTTACTGTTAGAGTCTGTCGTAAGTATAATAAAAACTTTTATGGTATTGACATTTTTCGAGATAGTATAGAAAAAATGTTTTGCCGCAATG